GGGCAATTGGGTTTCCCTTGGGCTTGCTGCTTAATAGTAGCTGTCCATTTTTTCTCCAGAGCGAGAGGGAAACAATGACCTCCGCAACCCATATCGATCCCGAGAGAGAACGACTTGAACTGGGATACGTTAGCATCAGTGTGGCTTAGTGAAAAGAACACCAACTTTGGAGTTCAGACCCCAGCTCTGCAGGTTGGGTTTATAACCTTGAGATGGTTAGTTAACCTTTCTGACCCTCAGTTTCCTCTGCTGTAAAGTAATGGTTTCTTCTTAGCATTTTTGCCATGATTACAGATAACGTAGATCAAGTATTTAGCCCAGTGGCTGGCACACGGTAATAAATGGTAGCCATCATGATTATTGCTCCAACGAAGCAGCTCTTTTGAGTCTAGGAAGAGACTGAAAAGCAAGGACACAATTAATAATAATAGTACCTATTCAGAATTTCACTTAATCTACAAAACACCTGGATGAGGCAAGTATTATTGGCATCACCAGCCTTTTACAGAAAAAGAAACTGGGGTTTCAAAAGGTCACATAATTTGTTCAAGGCCACATAACTTGCAAACGGAAGAGCTGAAGTTCAAATGCAGTTCTGTTTGCCTCCAGGGCCTGTGTTCTTAACCATGTATCTCCGGATTACACACTGGTCTAAAGGCTAGGAGCTGAAAACTCTATAATCAGAAGCCATTTGTACAGACCACTAAGTAGCTAGAAGCAGCTTGTGGATGTCCAGGAAACTGTTTCAGGTTGCTGGAGTGGAGGCAGACGCCACTCAAAGTCCAGGACAAGGGCGTCCCCGAGCACTCTGAGAAGCACGCTCCTAAATGCAACAGGACCATCTACTTGAACGACCAACTTCTACAGAATTCATAGGTATCTTGTAGTCCCTAAAATAGTCGAATAATAGGAGCCACAAAAATCCAAATCTGTGAACTAGACTTGCTTGAGGATATTTGGGAGAGCAGAAAGAGCCCGGTTTTTAAATGAAGATCAGCATGCAAGAGAAAAGAACACGGTCCGGAACTCCTTAGGAACTATTATCATATTCTATAACATCTTTTCAAAAATAATAACAAGGAAGTGAATGAACCATCATGATACAGAAAACGTGCTTGTGGCTTGGGGGGAACCCTGCCATGTGCTTTCAATTCATCTGAGAACAGGGCAGGAAATGATACCCTCCCCAAGCAGAAGCAGCCTATCTGGGCACACCTAACATCACCACCATCACCCCCAGCCTTCAGGAATGCCTTTGAAGTCAGTGGGAAATCCAGGCCTCCCTGAAGGAATTGCATATTTTAGCTTCTTTTAAGATTAGGACATTATCTACATTGGCCTTATAACAATCAACATATTTCATTTGTAACTGGAAAGCAGCCAAACCTTTCCTATCTCACACCCAAGCTTAATTCCAAGCTCCCAAAATCTGACTGGCTAGTTGGCAGACAGAACACTCCACCTTGACAATGTCCTTAGAATTGATTGTCCTTGTTGTAACCTATGTAATCCTTGGATTCACTGCCACCGGAGAAATTTCATTGTTATATTTTGACAGATCTGCACCTCACCTGATACAGCTCTCCAAGCCCCACGTCACTTCTCCCCTCCTTCATATTCTTGGGAACTATCTTCAAGTACAAGTGCTCAGAACGTGAGCTCCTCCTTTCTATTTCCCATAACCATTCTTTCCTGGAGCTGAGATGTCAGCAAGGAATGCCACTGGCACTTGATCGGCCTGGCAAATATTTATCTTTCAAGCTTGTCCTGATCGTCCTCCAGGAAGGTGAGATATCATAAGACATAATGAAATAACTGTTGTTTTAAGGCATTATGTTTGGGAGCTATTTGTTATACAATAGATAACGAGAATGCATGCACATGGTGTGATACCAATGCATAAACATATATATGTGGCAAAACAATAAGCAAATATGTAACAACAGCAAACACTGAATTCAGGGTCATGGTAATCACTCTTTGGTAAAATTACTTGCTTGCTTCTGCTGTCTAGAAGAGTGGGTTTTAATTTTTTGTTGTCGTTGTCTTGTTTTATTTGACAGGAATACAAGTGTGCAATGGCATTCATTTGCAGGACATGTTCCCATAGGCGTGCTCAAATATCCATTGGTGGCCACTGTCAGTTAGACTACTGGCCATGCAGCACCCATCAGGAGCCGATCCAGGATTTGTGGTGCCTAAAGCATCTACGAATTTGGGGAACCTCTTTAAGAAAACAAATTCTGAATCAAAATTAGATGTGAAAGTAAATATTTATGTTTTAAATTTTTTTAAGTTTATTTAGAGATAGAGAGAGAGAGAACTAGAGGGGGAAGGGCAGAGACAGAGTGCAAGAGAGAATCTTACGTAGGCTCTACACTGTCAGCACAGAGCCCCATGTGGGTTCAATCCCATGAACCATGAGATGGTGACCTGAACCAAAACCCAGGAGTTGGACATTTAACTGACTGAGCCACCCAGAAGCCCCATAAATGTTGATTTAGAATGAGAAAAGAGGGGTGCCTGGGTGGCTCAATCGGTTAAGCATCCCACTTCAGCTCAGCTGGTGATCTCACGGTTTGTGAGTTTGAGCCCTGCATCAGGCTCTGTGCTGACAGCTCAGAGCCTGGAGCCTGTTTTGGATTCTGTGTCTCCCTCTCTTTCTCTGTCCCTCCCCTACTCGCACTCTGTCTCTCTTTCTCTCTCTCAAAAATAAATAAACATTAAAAAAAAAAAAAAGAATGCTAGAATTGAAAAAAGAAATCACAAATTTTATAAAGCTAACACATACCACAAACATACAGAAAAATATTTTTATTAATTAACTTTATGGCATACATTTCCAATACTTTTTTTCTAAAATTTTCTAAAATAAGAATACTTTTCGGGGTGCCTGGGTGGCTCAGTCGGTTGAGTGACCGACTTCGGCTCAGGTCATGATCTCACGGTTTGTGAGTTCGAGCCCCGCGTCGGGCTCTGTTCTGACAGCTTGGAGCCTGGAACCTGCTTCCGATTCTGGGTCTCCCTCTCTCTCTGCCCCTCCCCCTCTCATGCTCTGTCTCTCTCTGTCTCAGAAATAAATATTAAAAATTTAAAAAAATAATAAAAATTAAAAAAATAAAATAAAATAAAAAATACTTTTTTTCTAAAATTCAGTCTTTGGCTCTTCATAATATACCAATTTAGGGATATCATTTTCTGAAGACAAAATGGAAAGACAATTTAGTTTTTCTTCTTGCATAGTTCATAAAGTTCTTATTTATTGATAGTTTTAAAAAATCTCTGTCAGCCTTGAACATTTTAGTGTTGATGTCATGTGAATTTTTAGGATTATTGTCAAATTCGGGTAGATCTCTCTCAGGTCTCTCTTGTGCAGGAGTGTCAGATTTCAGGGCATATCAAGTTTTCTTCTCAGTGACTAGTCTCAAATACTCTGAATTGAAAACGCATGTGGCATTTATAATTGCATATGCTGCATTTTGCAGCAGATTCTTGACAGGGGAGAAATTCCACTTCTCATCGTTACTGATGGGATCAAAATCTTCTTTTTATGATTTTACCCATCTCGTGATTGGAAGGATTTTCCCCCTAGACTAGGTTTCTTCTGTACTTCTCAAACAATGTTTTCCCTCTGCTCTCCACATACGGTTGGAGCCGGCCACTGTAGGACTCTTCTACTTCTTTTCTTTTACATGTTCCTATCACCTTTGAGTTGGAGAACGCAGGACTAGAGAGACAAAGGGTATATGTGTCCTAGTTTGCTCCTCTAGAGCCTGTATCCAGGAAGTGGAAGTTAAATAGATTGAAGGGATTACAGGAAGCAGAGGTGGGTTTTCCACCCTCCCTCATCTGGAACTCAGGAGGGACCTATGGCACAGAGTGGACTTGCTCCTTTAAGAAACACTCACAGCAGATTAAAAATAACGGTGCATGGGGGTTAGGTGGCGATGGGACCTGGATGTCACCACAGATACTATGAAGGACCAGTAATAAAGTTAGCTGAGTTGGGAACCAAAGGTCATGACTGTGAGTACAGAGTGTTCAACCGAAACCAGGAATCAGATGAAGGTTGTAGCTGTGATTCAGACAGGCATGTCTCACCAAGGTGACCCGAATCCGCAAAAATGTGTGTTGGGTCTTGGACACACAAAGAACAAAGCACAGGCAGACCGACTGCAACGTCACAGATGAGTGCAAGGTGCCCAGTGACCCGACTGGCCAAGCCGCCTCACCACAGAGCCCAGCAAGACCCCACACAGAGCACTGGGACACAGGCACGTCCACGTCCCCCACCCCTTGCCAGACGGCCACCTGAGTAAGCTTTCCACTCTGTCTGCAAGCCTCTTCCTTAAGCTATTATTCTAGGGGGGAGTAGAAACAATGGAGTCTAAGACACCAGAGTCAGATTTCACATCACGGGAACATCCCCGGAATCCTCTAGTAAGACTTATTAACAACGTCTATCAGGTTCTTACATACGTCTGGTAATTCTCATTACCATAATAAGATAATATATTTATATCACTTTTTTTTTCAATTGAGCTCCACGATATCTCCAAATCTGAGGTACTATTACTATCCCCGTTTTTATTTGTTTTTGTTTTTATTTTTTAATGTTTATTTGTTCTTGAGAGAAAGAGGGAGAGCCCGCGAGCTGGGGAGGGGCAGGGTATCTGTGGATACTACACTAGGCCACCCTGGCAGAGGCCAAGTACATCCAAATCCCATACCCATTCTCTGCTCCATTCCAGAAGCCTCTGGAGCATCTTAAAGGTAGGCTCACTCCCAGCACAATGTGTGTTGTGTATTTTAATCCATGGAAATTCATCCTTAGAAATAACCACACTTGCTATGGATAACCCAGAAACTGAAGCAGTAAGGGCTCCGGCTTGCAATTCTGACTTTGTGACAGGATCACCTGAAAATGTATATAAGCTTCATGTACCTTCGTTGCCATAAAACTGAAAGGGGAGGGGAGGCAACCTGCTACTATCACTTACAGACTGGTTGGTCCGTTCCCCCTTGAGCAAGTATCCGTGCTCGGCGCACCTGTTTGCCCACCCATGCCATCTCCTCCAGCACCCCGCCCTCAGCCTCTGCTTCCCTCAGAGCTCTTAAGGACAAAGCCACATCCTTGCTGGTGCTGACAGGGCCCATGGCGAGAGCTAGGATCGCTGCCAAACATGCACACTGCTGATGCTCCTGGAGCCTCTGGTCCACTGGGCACCACAGCTGAGAAGATTCCATGCAGAGGCGGGGAGATCAAGCTCCAACCAGCCCCGCCACGCTTTGTTCCAAACAGTTCTGCTTGTGCCTAAAGATTCTCAAAAGTCTTTGCGGTTTCTTCCTCTCACCTCTTGCCGGGGGTGCCTCGGATTCTGGCCTCTCCCCTCTAACCAAGGGTCTGCAGCACCTTTCAGATGTTGTGACTCCTCATTAATCCTACTTGTCCTCTCTGCAAGAGCACTGGATATTTGACCCACCCAGCACAAAACAATGCGCGCGCTCGTGGTGAATGTTGGGGCCAAGCCGAAAGGGACTTGAAGGAGAAACATTGTCCTCGCCAGCTGTATTCTGGCTCTAGTGCAATAAGGCAAAATTGCCCTGTAACAGATGTTAAAAATACTTAAGAATTTCAGCATGGGTTAAATATTTTCTTCCTGTTTTTATTTTAAGTATGTAGAGCCAAAAATGTGCATGTCCATCTGGAAAACAGCATTTTTAGATTTTAGTCATGGGTATATTTAAATCTGAAGGTCAAGACCAACAACACCCTCTGTCCCAAATTGGAACTCTGTCCTCACACACATTCATGTTTTCTTTTATTTCTTCCTGAATGATGGCGAGTAATAGGATTTGTCAAATGCACTGAAGAAACACTAGGGGAAGTTGATCGGGACTATAGGCAGGGCACTTGTTCTTGACAAGATAAGCGGTTACTTCTCACCATAAAAGTTGCAGAGCATTCCACTCTCGATTTCAGCTCAAGTCACGATCTCATGGTTCGGGAGATAGAGCCCCACGTCAGGCTCCAACAGTGCAGAGCCTGTTTGGGATTCTCTCTCTCTCTCTCTCTCTCTCTTTCTCTCTCTCTCTCTGCCCCTCTGCTGTTTGCATGCATGCTCTCCCTCAAAAATAAATGAACACTTAAAAAAAAAAAAAAGGTCGCAGTTGCATAAAAAAAAACACACAAAATCTTTCAGCCTAATATTTTAACGAAAAAAACTGTTTGCAGAGCAACTTTAACATCTTTCGTAATGCCTATGTGAGAAGGGAGGTGCCGGTAGCCGCTCTGGAAGGACGTTAAAGATTATGGGCAGAAGACTGATATGTGGTAACTTCCCAAAATTAAGACAGGAGAGCTCTGGGACACCACCGAAATTCCTGGTGCACACACAGACGCTCCAGGAGGGTTGGAAGGAAAATAATAGGTCTCTGGTGGAAAAAAACAAAACAAAATGGAACAGGAAAAGAGATATTTGGGGATAAAGGAGCTAGTTGTGAACAGTCAAGAATAAGAAGAGGAAGTTAAGAGGAAATTCAATTTAGGAGGGTAAGAAAAGGCTGAGAAGCAAAGAAGTGCCCTTTGAGAGCCAGGAAGGAGGAAAGAGAAATTCAGCAACAAAAATTCATGAACCCTGGGGCGCCTGGGTGGCTCAGGCCATTAAGCATCCGGCTCAGGTCATGATCTCACGGTTTGTGAGTTTAAGCCCTGCAACAGGCTCTCTGCTGTCAGCACAGAGCTCTCTTCGGATTCTCCATCCTGCTCTCTCTCTCTCTCTCTCTCTCTCTCTCAAAAATTAAAAAATAATTTCAGGAACCCCAAATAAAGAGAATAAATGGAATGTATTAGAATCACATGATTCCAGGGAATCTGCATCTGCTCAATAAATGAGGGTATTCCCAAACCCCACAGCAAGGAAACGAAGAATAAGATGACCTTGGTTTCTATTCTATCTTCCCCAGCACCCGCTAAAGCAATATGGCCACCTATCCCCTCTTGGGTGGCAGGGAAGGGGAGAAGCGTACAGACAACAAAAGTGGGAAGGGAACATAAAGGACAAAGCATCAAGTACTGCAATAGAGGAGAGACTTGGGACGTGCTGCTGGGGAAACACCCAGAGATAAGTGCAGGATCTGTAGTGGGGGGGGGGGGGG